GAATCCCTGGCAACATTGAAGAACTTTTGTTGTTTAGGTCTGTCTGCACCCTGCATGGTCTTGTAGATTTTGATTAAGTCACCACGTAAACGACGTGTAGTAAGTGAAGTGAGCTTAAGTAGATGAAGTCTTTCATGGTAGCCAAGATTTCTTAGTTCAGCTCTGCGTTGAACTTTTTCCAGGTTAATAATATCTCTCACCAGGTAAAGGTTCCAGACCTGGATACTATATTCCAGATGTGGTCTGACGTATAACTTGTATGCAGGAATAATAATGTCGGGCGATCTTGATGTGAATGTTCTTTTAAGGCCTAGGACCTTGTTAGCTTTACAAATTACTTTAGCACACTGCTCTGAGAATTTCAAATTTCTGGATAATGTAACAAGATCACTTTCTGACTGCATAGCCATAATAACATTATCATGGATTTTATATTCGTAAGTACCATTAGCACTTCCCAGATGCATACATTTCCATTTCCAGGGATCTCGCTAGCCCAACATGAGTGCCGGTCAGTCATGAATATTAATGAGCTATATGAATATTAACTAGCAATGAATTTTAATGAGTTTGGTCGCAGTGCAAATATTTTGAGAATTAAGACATTATGTTTCACTATTTAGAAGAGTTTGAATTTAAAAATGAAATATATTCGAAATGCAAATGCTGCAAACTAAAAACAGAAACAAATAAATTATTCATAAATAAAATATTGCCTAAAAGGGTTTTGATTTTAGTCCCAGATATAAAAAATGTTGAAGTGATTTTGATTTTTTTATATTAAAATTATTCAATACTGCTAGAACAAGAGTTATATAAAAGGCTAACCCTGAAGTTTTAATTAATTTTAACTTCTTTGTTACATGCTTTCAATACCCACACCACACAAGTTCACAAAAGTTTCCTTGATTTTGTTATTGCAGGGGATTCAAGATATGCTTCTCCAGAGGCTAGTTTATCCAACTGTTCTTGGTATAGCCAGTCAGCGTGTTGTAAAAGAACTGAAGTGACGTCTGTCTTTGGTGGCATGTATTCACTGTATGGTGCTTCTACCGCCTGTCAGAGTCGACTCAATTACATGATGTGTTATTTTTGTAGCCCTGCACAAGGGGAGTGGTATGACAAGTAAGTATAATTGTTATAGATAATACTTGCACTGGTCTACCATAGTTTGGTGATCTGTGTACTTGCATAACTGAAAATCACAGAGTTTGCAATTACATCCTCCATTGTGTTTCTCATGAAGCTTAGAGAGTGGTCTTGGGGTTGCTTGTTATAAACATTGGGTACAGGAAGAACCACTGATACAAGTACTATACACAGCAAGTTTAGTTTTTCTTCCAGAAACCAGCCATTTAAGTATTAATTTCAATTTTCGGAAGTAGCTGTTGAATGATTGAAGCAGCAGCCATGCACATTGACCAGTTAATGGACATTTTTAATCTATGTTCATCCCTCGTATTTCACGTCACCTCAGTAATTTTAACTGTGAGAATTTCTTTTGTTTGTAGCCATGTTCGTATCTGTATGGAATTCTGTGATGATACTTATACTAATTGTATGAACGCTAAATATAATGGACACACCATTGGAGAAAAATACCGGAATGGTCGACACTTCTGTGAATCACAACAGTTTGAAGTAGTGCACAGCAAACAAGGATGTTTTGACTTTGACCCTGGTGCTTTTGGTTCATCCACAATGAGTGCTCTCCACAAAGTTGTTTTTTTAATTTCAGTTTTTGTATCCATACTCAATACTGTATGATAGTCAATTTTTAAAATTTAGGAAAATCATTTTGTCCATAATCAATTTTAAAATTTTAAAAAAGAGAAATGTTATAAGCAACACTTCCAATAATATGCACTGATTACCAGTACTTAACATAAACAAACTTGATGTCTTGTATCCATAGAAAGTTAGAAATGACTGGTTTTGTAATTCCCCTGTCACTTCCATGCCATTCTTATGGCTATTTTTAACTGAAAGGTATTTTTGAAATTGCCTATCCCATTCGTTCTCATATGTTAAAGCCATTGACAAGGTTTGGAAAGATTCAGCATTTTGTCAATTCTTGTTTGAATGAGCACTGCGATGTTTTTATTAGACCATTGTGCAAATTTTGTTCAAGTGTACTAACTGTTTGAACAAACTTCACAAAAATGTGTGTAAAAAGATAGGCATCATCAAAACTTGTGCACAAAGCTTGTAGTCATCATCAAAACATGTGTAGATGCCAACTTGTTAATAATGTTAATGAATGCCTTCCAAATCCACAGGATGTTGAAGTAATGTTATCAAAATGTTCCAATTATGCAGAAACTTTCCTCACCAAGTTGAATGAGTGTGTGAAAGACAAATTATATAGTTAAAGACCCAGCATGCTGTCTACTGTCTTTGGTTGGGGACAACCAAGTTTACTGTCTTTGATTGGGGACAACCAAGTGTACTGTCTTTGGTTGGGGACAACCAAGTGTACTGTCTTTGGTTGGAACCAACCAAGTTTACTGTCTTTGGTTGGGACCAACCAAGTTTACTGTCTTTGGTTGAGACCAACCAAGTTTACTGTCTTTGGTTGCGACCAACCAAGTTTACTGTCTTGGGTTGTGGCCAACCAAGTGTACGGTCTTTGGTTGGGGCCAACCATGTGTACTGTTTTAGGTTGTGGCCAACCAAGTCTTGGGTTGGGACCAACCATGTCTACTGTCTTTGGTTGGGGCCAACCAAGTCTACTGTCTTAGGTTGGGGACAACCAAGGGTACTGTCTTTGGTTGGGGCCAACCAAGTTTACTGTCTTTGGTTGGGACCAACTAAGTTTACTGTCTTGGGTTGTGGCCAACCAAGTGTACTGTCTTTGGTTGGGGCCAACCATGTGTACTGTTTTAGGTTGGGGCCAACCAAGTCTTGGGTTGGGACCAACCATGTCTACTGTCTTTGGTTGGGGCCAACCAAGTCTACTGTCTTAGGTTGGGGACAACCAAGGGTACTGTCTTTGGTTGGGGCCAACCAAGTTTACTGTCTTTGGTTGGGACCAACTAAGTTTACTGTCTTGGGTTGTGGCCAACCAAGTGTACTGTCTTTGGTTGGGGCCAACCATGTGTACTGTTTTAGGTTGGGGCCAACCAAGTCTTGGGTTGGGACCAACCATGTCTACTGTCTTTGGTTGGAGCCAACCAAGTCTACTGTCTTAAGTTGGGGACAACTAAGGGTACTGTCTTTGGTTGGGGCCAACCAAGTTTACTGTCTAGTGTTGTGGCTAACCAAGTGTACTGTCTTTGGTTGGGGCCAACCATGTGTACTGTTTTAGGTTGGGGACAACCAAGGGTACTGTCTTTGGTTGGGGCCAACCAAGTTTACTGTCTTTGGTTGGGACCAACCAAGTTTACTGTCTTGGGTTGTGGCCAACCAAGTGTACTGTCTTTGGTTGGGGCCAACCATGTGTACTGTTTTAGGTTGGGGCCAACCAAGTCTTGAGTTGGGACCAACCATGTCTACTGTCTTTGGTTGGGGCCAACCAAGTGTACTGTCTTTGGTTGGGGCCAACCAAGTTTACTGTCTTTGGTTGGGGCCAACCAAGTCTACTGTCTGTGGTTGGGACCAACCAAGTGTACTGTCTGTGGTTGGGACCAACCATGTGCACTTTCTTGGGGCCAACCAAGTG